CTGCGACTTCATTATGTTGCATTATGACTATTACACTCTCTGGCACTGAAGTTGTATCAAAGTTGCATTATGATGCAACTTTGATACAACTTCAGTGCCAGAGAGTGTAATAGTCATATCAAAGTCATATTAAAGTTGAATTCCAAAGTTGCACAGAAAATCGCATGACTTTGGAGTCGATTCGTGTGAACCAAACCTTTGGGCAAATTAAAAAAAAAATATCACAGACAATACTCAATTATTTTAGAAACATAGCAAAATGACAACAGAAAAAAAGACCAAGTGGTCCATTGAATCTGCCCCCTTTTTTGAATGTATACAGGTTTTTGTATTTTCTTGTTTTTTGTTACATTATTTGATTCTTTTTTAGCCCACCTAAAATATTACTAATAAACGTAATTCGGAGCTCATGTAGCACACTTTAAAATGACTCTGTGCAATGCCCATGCAGGGCAAAGTAACAGGTTCTCTTTAATTGCCCAGTCCTGCATTTAGAATATAGTCAGCTTCCCTTTGATTCTTCACTGCTCTATTCACTGCTGGGAGTGAATTTCCAGCACTTCTCATTACTGGGGTTCATGTAACTTAATTTCTTTCCTCCAACATTATTGGTGCTTGTCAAGGAGGTGCTCAGACACCGACACCATCTCATGGGAGGCAGAAAAAGAGTGTCTTTGTAATCTCCAACTAGGATAGAGTTGGAACTTACGCAGGAATACTTCTCCTCTGTCCTTCCAAGAAATGAAGTGGTGGGACAATAAAGGGAAGGTAAGTATAAGTGGACTGGCTTTAATGTAAATTGTGGACTGTATTAAGTGCCATTGTAACATGATGAATCGGGGCCAATAAACTGAGGATTTTCCCTCTAACTCTTTGGGGGTCTCTGTGTAAAGACACACTAATTGGATGGAGCTAATACAGTATATTAATACCAACTGCTCCATTATATGTGCTTTAGGTTGCATAACAACAATAAAAATTTACATGCAATCTCAATAAAACAAAAATGATGCTTCTGTGTATAATATATAATTAAATAAAAGATATAGAAAACATTATATATTCCCTTTACGCCTATTATAGCCACATACATTCTAACCCAAAATATCCATTAAAACAGGAAAGCTCTGGTGGAGAAAGTAACACATTTCAAATACCTTAGCAAGTCCTGTTTGGTCTACAAGACCTCCTACAGATATGTATGAGGTGGGATCAAAAAGTTTGGTGATTAGCTCCATCTACAAGAAAGTACTTTATGCGCTATAAACAAAAAATACAATACAAAAATACAATTTTGAAAAAAAATATACGTTTTTGACTTTTTGCTATTAACCACTTCGAGTCCGAACACTTTCACCCCCTTCCTGCCCAGGCCAATTTTCAGCTTTCAGTGCTATCACACTTTGAATGACAATTGCGCGGTCATGCAACACTGTACCCATATGAATTTTTTAGCATTTTTTTGAGACAGATAAAACTTTATTTTGGTGGTTTATTCACAACTGGGATTTTTATGATTTTTTTTTTTTTTTTGCTATATAAATGAAAAAGTCAAAAAAAAATTTAAAAAATAGTTTTTCTTATAAAATTTTGCAAATAAATAATCTTTCTTCATAAATCTTGGCCAAAATGTATTCATTTATCTTTTTAGTAAAAAAAAAATAACCCAAATTAGTTTATAACTAAAAATTATAATTTTTCCCCAAAAACATTTACATTTTTATTTTATTTTTTTTATATTATTATTTATGTGGGGTTTTTTTTTAAACATACTGTCACCCTAGCAGTCACTATGGTGACACTGTACTACTTGTGGGGGGTGATGAAGATTTTTTTTTTTACACTGATTGCTTTTACACCTATAAAGACTGTAAAAAACAATCATTTCTCCTTCTCTCTGGATGCATTCTTGCATCCATTGAGAAATACTGTGTGAGCTGTGATTGGTCACAGCTTGTCACATGGTACAAGGCTGTTGTGAACAGCCTTGTACCATGTGACCTCTGTGATCATTCCCAGATTTCACACGTAGTAAGCATAGATGTCAGAAGTGACATCTTGCCTACTACTATTCATGTGATCACTGATTGGCCAATCAGTGATCACATGATCGGGACCTCACACAGAGGTCCCGTACAACGATTGGGCTCTGGATCACAGTGCTGCGGGCTCCCAGGGAGCGGGTACAAGCAGATAAGTGGGGAGGACGTTTATAAAATGGCCATCTGCCCCTGCACTGCTCCCGTCCAGCCGTTTATATACATGGGTCGGACGGGAAGTGGTTAATATACGGTTACATGGTATCTCCTTCAAAAATAGTCCCTTTGCACAGCAATACAGTGCTTCCAGCATTTCGAAGCACGTCAAGCTTTCTGCAATTCATGCCAGATTTCCGTAATGGTGTCAAAACAGTGATCTTTCAGCTGGATCTTCATTTTAGGGAAGAACGAAGAATGAAAATCTGGCTAGTAGGGTTGGTGCAGAAGTGAGATCACGCTGTTTTCAGCTCTATGTTCTAACATGCTGTCCATTATGAAATAGCAGATTGGGTAACACACATGGTCAGAACAGCACCAGTTGCACAGCTCCCAATGTACACAGGACAATGTATTTTGGCACACTGACTTAAGAAGGACCATGCTCCCTGTGACAGCACGTGCAGCCTTGAGCTGTCATCTTCTGGCGTGTTACAAAACTAGTCTCAAATTTTTTGATACCACCTCGTATTTTTTACAGCCTGTTTGATGCCTAGGGATCCCACTTTTAAACAAAATGCACATATCCTTTCTTCCCTCTATTGCACTAGCCTAGCCCCCCTTCTCATTAGGCATACTTACCATGCAATCATGCCTATGGCCTCTAGGGTGACTAGCTTGCCTCAGGAGATGGCTCTATATAATCCAATAGGAAACGAATCCACAAGCAGGGATGGAACATGTACGATCAGCAGTGGGATATCAATAAATCCTGGAGACCTTAGGCACAATTTCAAGATAATTATGCAATGGGAAGGAGGATAGGTTAGCACAGTAGAGATAGGTTAGCACAGTGGGGGGTACAAAAATGATTTGAGCTTTGTTTGAAAGTGCACTTATCTTTTACAATTTTGGGCTTCTGTGGTTCAAAATGATACCATTCCTAACAAACAGATTTAAATAAATGGCAGTATCCCTTAAGCGAGGCACTTGTGAGCAGGTGCTTCCAAAGGGTTTATTTTTCTCTCTCTCCTGACCCGTTCTGAAGCTATCTGAGTTCACTGTGCTGTTTCTCAATTGAAATGTTACAATGTAGATGTGTGGTGGATCTTAGGAATTGATTGGGTAGATTTTCCCAACAATTTTCTACAGTTCCACATAAAAAGGCTCAAGGAAATTCCTTGAGAGAGATCTTGCTGAACCAATGCCAAGATGTAGGGTGTTACTCTGCTGGACAATGTTCCCTTCGGGGAGGGGGGCAGTGGCGGTACCCTGAGAGCTGAGAGTCCGGCTGACTTTATGGACTTTCAGGTGCCAGCTATGGTCTTATTGCCTTTTGGACTTACTGCCAATTATGGACTTTAAGGATTACTTGCTACCTCTTGTGGATTATCTTCCTAAAGGGACTCTTGCCTCAATGGACTACCTATGAACTTGCTGCTAACACAGGTATGGTCACCCTATGGGCACTAAAGAACCCTATGGGCACTAGAGAACCTCAGGGAAGAACTGTTCCTGTATGTTTTCCGCAATTTCAGTAAAGGCTGTTCATTGTTACTCTAAATTCCTAGTTTGAAGTCTCTCAAAAGGGGTGAATGCACAACGTATCTAAAGAACAGGGCTTACATCAGGGGACTGTAGGTTACAGTAGTTACAATACATTTTAGTCCAGCATGGAGTTTGCAGTCTAGCATAGTCTATATTGCCCATGCTAGGGACAGCCATGCATGTGTCCTTGCTAAAGGCAGCCATCCAGCCAAGGAATGGGTGACTGGCAAAGGGTAATGGTTATCCTGGTAGTGAAGGTATGTTATGCCTAGCCCCTTCACTAGCAACTGGTTCCCCACAAATTAGAAGCGTATCTGCGGCACAGTGTACCTAGGGACCTAGCCTGGAAATCACGGGAAAGAGAGAAATGCAGAGGGGCCACTGGGAGAGAACAAGCATGTAGCCGTGAATGAAGAACATTACGTAAGCAACAGTGGACATTTCACTGGGTGTGAGGCAACAGGAATTGGTGGATGCCAGTAAAGGCTGTGCGGTACCAGTCCATGTATGCTGAACACCCGGGAAGTGGTGTTCTTTATTTGTAGTGGTGTCTAGAGTGCTTAGTGTTATCAGTGCAACAATTTAGCTATGGGTTACAAGAGGGTTAACTGTCTTAGTTGTTGCTCGGTTCTAAGTCTGGAGTTATGCCTTAATGTTGATTCCACATGACCGCAAACTCCTGCCTAGTGATTAGGCAGTTAACGAGTGAAGTTCTTGGTGTCCCCACTAGGGTGCTTAAGCCCCATCCACACACTAGCTGTATTGCTTAGGCTCCATTCACACTTGTACGACTCCAAAGTTGCATGACTTCACAACTTTGCAACTTTGGATGGGTGCAACTTGGATACAACTTTGGCTTTCATTAATAATAATGGACAACTGTTGCATGTATAACATTCAGGTGCAACTCTCATACAACTTTTAAGGGTTTATATTGCGGTCTAAGGCACTCGAGTTGCATAAGAGTCGTACCAAAGTAGTTACATAGTTACATGGTTAGTCTGGCTGAAAAAACACAAAAGTCCATCCAGTTCAACCATAGTAGTAGTAGTACATGAACTACTTTGATGTTGCTGAAACTTTAAGTTGTACGGATATGAACGGTTGTCATTGAAAAACATGGGGTTTTGGCATCCAAAGTCGCATGACAAGTGTGAATGGGCTCTAAAATCCTACAGAAGAACGGTTTAATAGGTTGTTTGTGCTTCAATGCCTTTTTTCTCCTCTTGTAGTTTTTGAAGGTTTTGCAATATGCCATTATGACGACTCAGATGTGCTGGTTGTTGGAAGCATCAACAGTGGCATCTGAAGCTGTAAAATAGTGAAACAGTCAGGATATTAAATCTTTGTGAAAATCCTGGTAGAATTATTCCTATGCAATGATTTCAGTATGTAAAGCACATGGAGACAACAGCCTTCCTACACACAGCCAGCGATTTTCCTCCTATAAAGTTGTCTGTGCAGAGAGCTGATAACTGGGAGGTTGCTTCTGCCGGTATAATATAAAATAGAATGGGATATGGATACCAATCGTAAGTGAAAATATAGATTTACCCCCTTCCTGACCAGGCAATTTTTTGTGATACAGCACGGCGATATTTTACCTGACAATTGCGTGGACATGCAACGCTGTACCCAAATGACATGTATGTCATTTTTTTCTCACAAATGGAGCTTTCTTTTGGTGGTATTTGATCAACTCTGCTAAGAAAAAAAGACCGAAAAGTTTGAAAAAAAAAAAAAAAAACATTTTTTATTTTCTGCTATAAGGCTAGGTTCACACCTAAGCATGTTGCGTTTGAGACGTTTCTGCATTGCGTTTTTTGTAACGAAATTAGTTTCAGTTTGTTTCAGTTTTGTTTATTCGTTTTCAACTGGATTCAGATTTTTTGAATGGATTCGAAGTATTTGAATCGAAAATATCAAAATCGGTCTGAATTCATTGTGAAGAATAGATGGTTCTATCTATGCTATTCTATTCAATGCAGATTCGTTTAAATTCACTACTATTGTAATTCAGAAATTTGGATACATCTGAATCTCTGAATGCCAAAAAACTCGTCTGAATTTCGATACAGAATGAAACGAACTGCACATGTCTACATGCTAGTTGACACTTTTTATATTAACAACTTAAGAGCCGCCCCATAGCAGATATACTGCTTCCACTGGGCGGCTCCACTGTGAAAAATCAGGTGAAAATATGCATTGCTATTGGCTGATGGATATGTCAATCACTGGGTCCTGGCCAGCTATTCTCGGCTGGGACTCAATGATCGTTGGCAGGGCTGAGAAGGGAGAGATCTGTGTGTAAACAACAAGGACATGCTGCTTTGTATCTCTCTGCGCAGCATGTCTCCCAAGTAAAATACAACACTCAGCTTACAGTAAAGCACACAAGGATGAAACCTGGTTTGAGACTTATATGTGAACAATACAGATCTCTCCCCTGTCAGCTCCAGCACACTGCTTTATATGGCTCTGCAAGGCATAGTCATACAAAGCAGTGGGCTTACAGTGTAAAGCACACACAGCTCACATAGTAAAACAGCACACAGCACACAGCTAACCCTTTGGTTACCCCAGATGTTATCCCCTTCCTGCCCAGTGTCATTAGTACTGTGTGCTTGCTTTTTATTAGCACTGATCACTGTATTGGTGTCACTGGGGATGTCAGTGGCAGTTAGTTCCCACTCAGTGTCAGAATGCCCGCCGCAGTCCCGCAGTGCAGCTATAAGTCGCTGATTCCAGTATATATACCGCCATTTGTAAACGCTATAACTTTCATGTAAACCAATTAATTTACACGTATTGGGATTTTTTTTAGCAAAGACATGGAGCAGAATAAATTTCGGCCTAAATTTATGAAGAAATTTTATTTTTTAAATTTTTCTATTCAATATGTTTTTTACTAAAAAATAAAAAATGTTTTTTTTTTTGTTAAAATTGTCGGTCTTTTTTTGTTTATAGCTCAAAAAATAAAAAAAAACTCACAGGTGATCAAATACCTTTGAAAAAAAGCTCTATTTGTGGGGAAAAAAGGACACAAATTTTATTTGGGTGCAGCGTTGCATGACCGCACAAATGTCAGTTAAAGTAACGCAGTGCCGTATGGCAAAAAATGGCCTGGGCCAGGGAGGGGGGTAAGTCCTCTGGAGGGCAAGTGGTTAATAAATACATTGAAGTATGATTTACGAGGGGAAGCAAAAAGAAAACCCATCATTATTGAACAGTCCTGTGTAAAGGGGGAGGGGTGATCGCTAAGACCACAATTGTTCTGTGTACAGTAGGTGGGGTGGCTGTTTTCACCGCACCCTGGGCACTGCGTGAAAGTGGCCTTAGAGGCTCTTACCTGTTTTTCCTTGAAAAATGTGTAAAAGGACAGTTCCCCTCACTCTGTAGAGATTTCCTTTGGCTTTGCTGCAGGACAGGAAGTGAAGGGAATTCTATCCAATGGCACACAGACAGCAGAGGGCAATTACATGAGGTTTTTAACTCTTTCCTACTCTACTCAAAACAAAAAACCTTTTGGCTATAGAGTACATATACTATAAACAATGCAGCAAGAAAATCACACAATCAACAAACATCTCATGCTACAGTGACACAAAGACAGAGCTCAAAATGAAATACGTACTACTGGTTCTCCTTCGCCATTTCCCTGAAACAAATAAAAGAGGAAATTAGAGACAGAAAAAAAATACAACAATCTTCACAAATTTTTTTGAAAAGATTCAAATTTACAGAACATTCTGCCTGTGATTATTATAGGGGTTTTAACAGTGAGTGTTCCGTTATAAATGGCGCTGAACACAAAGCTTTTGTTAGGCCCCTTACACACCGGCGATCCAATCAGGTCTCGGGAAAACAGGTATATAGGCGCTACAACCACCCCATGTAACAGCTCCGCCCAGTGCGCAGATTCTCCAGGATGCTGACACCTCCAATATACCAGGATAAGTAGAGGGATGGTCAGCACTCAGGATGACACCCAAAATATAGTATTTCTTTATTGAAAAGACATGTACAACACTGTACAAACAGCCTACGCGTTTCAGACTTTTTATGTTCTATTTCTGTTCTGTTATACTCTATTATTTTCTAAAGGAAAGCAAAGAAAGGGCGCACTCTCTTCGTGCATTACCGTGGTAAAAAATTAATTATTAAGATGCATGAAAGTGCATGCTCACAAACCAAAGGAGATTGAAACAGGACAAAGAGCCAGTGGTAATAGTCTCGAATGACGGGAAACCCTTGATGTGGTTATCCAACGCGTTTCGGGAGACGCACTCCCTTCTTCAGAGCTAAAATATTAGACCTGCTACTCTTGCATATATAAGGCAATAAAAGAATTGAGAGAACAAAACTACACCCCCTCCATGACATACAACATGGGCGGAACCCGCCAAGGTCCGCCCAGATGATGAATAAAATAGACCTATAAAGATGTGGAGTCATGATTTGAAAGGCTTGGCATAATTTCCTTTATCAGTACCAAGATTTCCCGATCTTTCCCCATTCAGCATGAAGTTTGAGCGCTGGTTTTGTTTCTCTTGATTCTATTATTTTCTACTCTGTTCTATTCTATTTTATTCTTGTATATTCTATTCCTTTATTTTTATTATGTTTTGTTCTATTCTATTCTGTTTTGTTTTACCCCTTCTATTCTATTTGATTCGATTCTATTAAAATTTGAATTTTGGAAGACGGCTATATTCTTTCTATTTTATTCTGTTCTAATCTATTCTATTTTTATTCTATTATTTTCTATTCTATTTTTATTCTATTATTTCTATTCTATTTTTATTCTATTATTTTCTATTCTATTTTATTATTTTCTTTTATTTTCTATTCTGTTCTTTTTTTAATCAATTATTTTCTATTCCTTTTTTATTATTATTATTATACAATATTTATATAGCACCAACGGTTTGCTCAGCGCTGTACATTATAATGGGAGACAGCACAAGAGACAGTACAGTAACAATACAATACACGAGGGGTTCCAAGGCCCTGCTCCTTGGAGCTTACAATCTAGGAGCTTTATTTTATTTTCTATTATTTTATTCTGTTTTACTCTGTTATTTTTCCCATTCTGTTCTATTGTTGTCTATTCTATTCTTTTATTTTCTATTTATTTTATTCTATTCTACCCGTTCTATTGTTTTATTCTATTCTATTCGAAATTCAAATGTCAGAAGACAGCTATAATTTTTCTATTCTATTCAAATCTAGTCTTTTTTCTATTATATTGCTTTTTTCTATTCTGTTCTTTTATTTTCTATTCCTTTATCTTCTATTGCTTTTTCTCTATTCTATTCTTTTATTTTCTATTCTTTTATCTTCTGTTCTATCCTGTTTTATTCTATTCTATTCTTTTGAAATTGGAACTTCAGAAGATGGCCATATTTTAACACTAATACACACAGTCTTTGAAGGAAATCAGCAATATTTAACAATATGTTTATACTTCAAATTTGTTTTTGAATTCGATTTTGTTTTTAAAATCAGATTCAAATTCAATTTGAATTTCTGACAAAATTTAGTTTTAATATGTCAGATTCTTTTAAATTTGTTACTACTGTAATTCAGAAATTTGGGTACATCTGAATCTCTGAATAATGAAAAAGTAATCTGAATTTCAGTTCGGAACAAAACAAACCACACATGTCTATTAATTTCTACTTCCCACTTCTTATTTATATGAATTAATACTTTAAAGTATAATTTATAATGGGAAGCAAAAAGAAATACCAGCATTAATGATATTTAGCATGCTGCATTAAATTTGCCATGGCTGCTCAAAATGAAATACTTACTGGATCTCCTTCGCCATGTACTGCTGGTTCTCCTTCGCCATGTACTGCTGGTTCTCCTTCGCCATGTACTGCTGGTTCTCCTTCGCCATGTACTGCTGGTTCTCCTTTGCCATTTACTGCTGGTTCTCCTTCACCATTTCTCTGAAACAAATAAAAGAGGGAATTAGAGGCAGAAAAAACTAAATACAAAAATCTTCACAAACTTTTTTGAAAATATTCAGACCCCATTCACACTTTAGCGTTTTTCAGCTCGATGCTCAGAAATGCTCAACAAGTAAAATCCTATTATTTCCAATAACTCCTGTTTACACTTGAGCGTTCTGTCCCGTCGCTCAAAAAAGTACTTGCGCTACTTTTCCGGCAGATCTGAGCATTTTGACCCATAGACTTGAATAGAAAATGCCTGAACAGGGAGAATGAGTGTTTTTTCAAGCGTTTTTTCAAGTTAGTTTTTTTTTTGTTTTGTTTTTTTTTTAGGCGCTATTTCTATTTCTATTTGCCACAGCAAAAACACCTAAATGAAAAACGCCTGAAAAAAACGCCTATAATATTTGCAAATCTTCTCAAAAATGCCTGAAAAACGTTCAGTGCAGTGTGAATGGAGCCTCAAACTTCCAGCACATTCTACCTGTGACTATTATAGGGGTTTTATCTAATAGAATGTTTCTAAAACAGTCAGTGTTCCATTACAAATGGCCCTGAACACAAAGCTTTTGTTAGGCCCATTTCACACTGGGAGATCCAATCAGGTCTCGGGAGAACAGGTGTATAGGCGATACAACCTCCCCATATAACAGCTCGGCCCGGTGCTCAGACCTCAAAGCTTCCTACACCTCCAATATACCAGGATCAGGAAAGGGTTGGTCGGCACTCAGGATGACATCCGAACAGTAATAATTTCTTTATTGAAAGGACACGTACAATGTTGTAAAAACAGCCTACGCGTTTCAGACTGTCCTTAGTCATGACTATGGACTAATGTCCGAAACACATAGGCTGTTTTACAGCATTGTATATGCCTTTTCAATAAAGGAATACTATTTTTTGGATGTCATCCTGAGTGCCGACCAACCCTTTCCAACCCCTTCCTCAACCCTTTCCAACCCTTTCCTGATCCAATCACGTCTGCCTGTCAATTTTTCAGGTGGACCTGATGATAGGATGGTCTATGTATCTCTATGGACCGGTGGGTGTAGCACCCTCCCAGTTAGTACTGCAGCTGCAGGCTTGCCTGGTTCCCCCTGTCTTTCCAGAAATCTCTGAAACATAGTGGGTGGAGAGGGTAGAGCCTGACACAGCCTCAGCCAATCCCTGGTCAGGAAAGTGATCAGCAAGGGGCCGAGAGAGATATTTTGGGACTGGAGAAGAGAGTAGCAGGGTCTTTCACCTGCTGGAGATTGGCCCATCATGGAAGGGCTGGTAAATATTCCAAGGCTTAGAAGTAGCTTTAAGAAGTCCTGGATGATTCTAGCTCACCAAGTAGGTGAAGGATCACCCCAAAGTCACAGAAATACTGGGGCGACATACAAATTGGATCTTCCTGGAATACTTTTGTGTCAGCTGAAGCTGGAAGAAGGCCTTCAGATTCATTGGATCACAGTGAGTATGCCTTGACTGTTCCCTGTACACCCCTGTTAGAGAGAGTGTTCGAGACCTGCTGCCAGGGCTGTGCCCACAGTGGAAGCCCCCGCTGTGCTGAGCCATTTTTGTAAAGAGAACTCTGCTTTACTTCGGTGAATGTCAGATAGTGTCCTCATCCAAGTTGTTTAGTTCTGGGCATCCCAAAGCTTTTCCAAATCCCCATCCCAGTTCTTTATCCACTAGCCCTCCTGAGGATTTTCCTGACCAGGCCATTTTTTGAGTTACGGTGCTGCATTACTTTGACTGACAATTGTGCGGTCATGCAACGCTGCACCCAAATTAAATTTACGTCCTTTTTTCCCACAAATAGAGCTTTATTTTGGTGGTATTTTGATCGCCTGTCAGTTTTTTATTTTTTGCGCTATACACAAAAAAAACAACAATTTTGAGAAAAGCAATATTTTTGACTTTTTGCTATTAAACATGTCCAATAAAAAAATTTTAAAAAAATCAAATTTCATCATAAATTTAGGCCAAAATGTATTCTGCGAAATGTCTTTGCTAAAAAAAAAAAAATCCCAATACACGTAAATCGATTGGTTTACGTGAACGCTGTATATATATATATACACAGTATACTGGGATTTAAAACATTTTTTTTTTTATTAGTAATGGCGGCAATCAGTGACTTATAGTGGGACTGCGGTGGGCATTTTGACACTGGGGGGGAACTAACTTGCTGTCACTGACATCCCCAGTGACACCAATACAGTGATCAGTACTAATAAAAAGCACTGACAGTGGCACTGGGCAGGAAGGGGTTAACATGTGGGTGATCAAAGGGTTAACTGTGTGCTGTGTGTGTTTTACTGTAGGGCTGTGTTTTTGCTTCACTGTAAGCACACTGCTTTGTATGGCTCTGCTATGCTAAAGCAGTGTGCAGGAGCTGACAGGGGAGAGAGCTGTTTTGTTTACAAACAGTTCTCTCCCCTCTCGTCGGAAATGCTAGGCAATCACCGGGCACCACCGAGTAATCGCTGTGGCCCTGATGATTGACAGCCACGGCTGCTAATGGCAGTGCAGGTAGGACACGCGTGCGCCCCCTACTCGAAAATGGAAGGAAAGCTGTTAACAGAAATTAAAAAAAAAAGACAAGACATTATTTGCCTGATTACTGTCAGAGGATTGAATGAAACTTGATGCATCTAGGTGGATCGGATTGGAGTGCAAGTCCATGTACACCCAACCAACCATGGAGCAGAGCTGGCTCTGTCAGTGTCTGCTATACATATACTGAGTGGACACGGACCTGTCATCTGCCCTCTCTGCTCTGCTCAGCAGGGGATAAGAGGGACAGATGCCCTCCTGATCCAAGGGGATTCTGCCCCCATGTGAAAGAGGCCTTAGGCAGTGCAGCTACAGTCCTTATATTAACCTCTTGCCGTCCGCGCTCCCTGGGAGCGCACAGCACCGCGATCCGGTGCCAGCTGTGCCACACATTGAAACACCAATCGTCGGACCGGACCTCTGTACGAGGTCCCGATCATGTGATCACTGATTGGCCAATCAGTGATCACATGCATAGTAAGCAAGATGTCACTTGTGACATCATTGCTTACTACGTGTGAAATCTGTGAATGATTACAGAGGTCATATGATACAAGGCTATTCACAACAGCCTTGTACCATGTGACAAGGTGTGACCAATTACAGCTCACTCAGTACTTCTCAATGACTGCAACAATGCAGACAGAGAGAAAGAGAAATGATTGCTTTAACATCCTATATGGGTGTAAAAGCAATCAGTGTAAAAAAATTGCTGTTACATGGTGACACTGTACTGTTAGGGTGACAGTATGTAAAAAAAAAAAAAATAAATAAAAAATAATAATATAAAAAAAATAAAATAAAAATGTAAAAAAAATGTTTAAAAATTATAATTTTTGGTTATAAACTAATTTGGATTTTTTTTTTACTAAAAAAATAACGGAATAAATTTTGGCCAAGATTTATGATTAAATATTATTTATTTGCAAAATTTTATAAAAAAAAACTATTTTTTTTTCAAAATTTTTGGACATTTTCATTTACGTAGCAAAAAAAATAAAAATAAAATAAATACCACCAAAATAAAGCTTTATCTGTCTCAAAAAAATGGTAAAAAATTTATATGGGTACAGTATTGCATGACCGCGCAATTGTCATTCAAAGTGTGATAGCGCTGAAAGCTGAAAATTGCCCTGGTCAGGAAGGGGGTGAAAGTGTCCGGACAGGAAGTGGTTAATCAAAAATGTGATGACGTCTGTTTGTAGATGACACAATATAAAAAGTTAATCAAGGTAGTTTTTGTATAGATCATTAGTTTCTTATTAGACAATACTATTCCAGAAAATGAAATCATGAACATATGACACTTACTTTTACTTTACAAAAATAGATCGCTACCCAAATACAAAAAGCAAGAACGATGACAACAACAGGAATCACAACACCAGGAATCACAGCACCATGAATTTGGTAGCGTTCTGAGAGAGAAACAAAAGGGAAAACATCAAATAGTGTTTATACTTGAAGTCTAGACCACAAGGTACTCAGAAGTGTTCTGGTTAAGTCCTCATGCACACGGGACATTTTTACAGCGGCTGTTTTTGGCTTTTGACGTTTTTTTTCTACAGCTCCCCAACATCCTATGAGTTATCCTATGCGTCCATGCACACATAGACTGTAATCAACGTTTTTTGGCAGGGGTGTTTTTTGGCTGGAAAAAAAACCCCAGAACTAGTGGGTTTCTAGAGTTTTTAGCTGTAAAAACGCTCTAACGCTGAAAAACGTGGCAAAACATGGTAAAATGCGTTAGAACGCCACAAACCGGCGTTTTTGGACTTTTTTGACCCAAAAAACGGAAAAACGCAGCTAAACACGGCAAAACATTGCTAAACGCTAATGCAAAAACGCTAAAAAACACTGAAAAACTCACGTTACCAGCGTTACTAAACCGCCCCATGTGCATGGAGCCTCACACAATGACATTTATTAAAGCTGAACTCTAGACAGATTTGAAAGACTCCCAACCTTATTGAGACCAGGTCCTAGTAAATTCTTTCAAAACCTTCCATGTTCCAACATTAACCCTAGGTTCACACTGGTATGGTGTGGGGAGGGACCCCATGCCATTAAAAAAAAAAAATGGGTGTAGGGTTCCCCTTAAAATCCATACTAGACACGAAAGGCCTGGTATGGATTGGAAAGGGGGGGGGGGGGGGGGGCAGCCCACTTTTTTTTGTTTTCCTGATTTCTTTATTTTTTTCATTGCCGGCAATAGGTTTGTTTATATACAGCTGTCAGCAGGGAACCCCGCTGACAGCTGAGGACTATTTGGGATGCGGTGGCCACCTGCTCTTTAACAACTATGTTGTTTACCACTTGCTAAGGATGCCAATGGCCTCCTGCTCCTTACAATCAGATAAATTCACACAAAGCACAAAACGCAAAATGCATTAAAAAAATGCAAAAAAAAGCATAAAAAAAGAGTGTGAAAAAAACGCATAAACGCACCCGGAAAATGCATCAAATGTAATCTGCATAGATGTGAACCTAGCTTTAAAAAAGGTTTATACTGTACTAGGACAATTAAACAACACTACGCATTGAAATGCGGAAACGTTGTGGATGGAGCTGGGAGTTACTGTGGAGAGATGAGGATTTGGGAAGGAGCTGGGTCAACTGTGGGGGATGCAGTCCCTATAGGGGGGTTATGGGTCTCTCCAGGTGGTTGGGATACTGTGGTAGACTAATGAGGGACTGGGGGCACTATGGGACACTGCTGGAGGTTGGGGGAACTCTGGTGAGCTGAAGGCTTTGCAGAAGGCTGGTGGGCACTCAGGGAGCTCATAGCTCTCAGGGGCAAAGGGGAATGTGGAGGGTTGAGGGGCATGGCGGACCACTATGGCAGGCTGGATGGCACTATGGAAGCTGGGAGGCATTGTGGGGGTCTAGAGGATCTGCAGCTGGCTGGTGGCCCAGGAGGAGGGAGGCTGTGAACTGTATTCAGCCACAGCCTGGTGGTTGAGAACCATATTGTAAAGCAACTTTTCCATTTCTTGCAGATATTGTAAATCTGAAATTTTGGCAATAAAATTACAGAAAACCCCCAGAATATTATATATTTTCTGAATCAGCACTGATCTAATTAAAGTGGTTGTAGGTTCATTATTTTGCATTCCAAGTTTGTGATGCTCCTGTAATTGTAATTAAACTCACCTGTATCACTTAAAAGGTGCTGACAATATAGAATTCACACTGGCAACCAGTTAAAATGGTGAAACATTGAGCCTGGGTTCACACTGATGTGGTGCGGAATTTGCAGCGTTTTCTGTGTGAATACCGCAACACAACTCCATTCATGCGAACCGATGCAGGTGTGCGTGTTAAGCTAACAACACCCCGAAATCGGTCCACAAAACGCGGTGCGATGTACAGAGTCGGATCGCATGGGTGTGAATACCCATGCGATCCAATTCTAGTGCAGAACAAAAAAAGGGTCCTGCACCTTTTTGGTGCAAATGCGGTGCGATTTGAGCCATACAAAATGCATGGCTCAAATCGCACCGCACAGAATTTGCATGTGATTTGCACAGGAATGCGGTGCGGTAGAGCACTGCACAAGTGTGAACCCAGGCTAACTCAGTCTTTCTGTTGTGTGTCTCTGTGTGCCACATGAGAATTGAGAGGATTAGTCCTCTGTTGCATCTGGTTGGAACATCTGAGTTGAAGGTATTGAAAAAATAGTGCCCCCCAAACATTAAGGCTTCATGCATACTGGCTTACAAAAAACGCCAGTGCTCCTGGCAGAAAGAAATGCTAATTTTACCTTTAGGAGCATGTAGTGTTTTTTTCTGCCAGAAAAACACTCTCGAAAATGCAAAACAGAAGGGGTTTTCTGCCTATTTAAAAAATGCCTCCAGACTGCCTAATGTGCACGGACACATAGGATTACATTAGTTGCTTCTACAGGCAAAACACTAAACTCCTCTAGGAGCAGAGTTTTTTTAAGTCCATGTGTATGGAACCTAAAAACCTCTTGCAGTTTGTACTATCAGATGATTGTGTTGAATAAAGAGCCATCTATTGGTTGTTCACTGCAATTGCACCCTTTTTTTTATTCCTTTCAAACAAGAACAGGAAGTGCCTCCCATTTGTTAATTAAGACTCCATGTACACTGCAGCTGCTAAACTGAGGTTCAGGAGCTGTTCAGCATTTTTTTCAGCAGCCCCTGAACTGTCCCTAATGTTTTCCTATGTGTCCATGTACACATAGTCGTTTACAGGCAGTTGAGTTTACAGTCGTTATTTTGAACGCACCAAACTTGCGTTCAGGAGTAGACTTTACCAGCGTTTCAAACTCAAACACTTGTAAACGTGGTTAACCGTCTTTATAAGCGTTTGTATATAAAGAGTTTTTTAACTGTTCCATGTCCAGATGCTATTCAGAGCCTTTTTTCATCATCAGAAATGCATGCAAACCTTTTTCCATGTATTCATATAGACCTAGCACACCAGTGCAGTCAGTTCCAGGTTTTGCTTGAAGGAAAAGATGGTAGAATGCGCTCATGATGGGATCCATAGTGAATACAACCAGAAAAGACAGGTCATCTCAACACATACTGCTCTCTCTGCTTCTGCTCTCTCTAATCCTCTCAAAATGTCTGAAATAGTAAATTGTTGGGCATTTGGGAAGTTCTCCTGAGGTTATCTTTTAAAAATGCTTCAAAATGAAAGGCACATAAACACGGTATGCAAACGCGGCTAAACTGATGTTTTTTAACCTACGTTTTCCAGCAGTCAGTTTCCATCATTCAGAAGAATTTTCCAAACGTCCCGTGTACATGAGCCCTTAACCCCTTCAAGCCGGCTTCACGCAAATGTGCGGCCTCCCGGCGTCTGGGCCTAGACGCCGAGCGGCCGCACATTTGCGTTCATGTAGCAAAAAACATATGTGCTGAGAGCGCGCGCCCTGCGTGCTCCCAGCACACAAGTGAGGTACTCACGGAAAGGTCCCGGTCCGCTCTTTCAATCGGGACCTTTCCTGATCATGTGACCGGCCGTGACGTCATGACGGCCACATGACACTAAGCCACACCCCATCCCGCCCACCTCCCGGCGCAGGAACGCCTCTTCACGCCGGGACGATCCTGCGTGAAGGTGTTAAGTTTACCCACAAATTACTTCTGTACCATTTCAGCTTCCAGAGGAACACACCAGTGAAGCTCACCTCCTTTTTCCCTTTAATGCACATATGCGTGCAAGTCTGTTAAATTTTTGTTTGTTAAAGTTATGATATATCTAGATTGCACTGTTTTCTATTCGATGTGAATTTGAAGGTGTGCGGTCTGCAAAGAAATGTGTTGTTTATGCATTTGTAAGAGACATGTTGGAACCTCAGTTTATGTGATTGTATTGCAGTTTTACAGAACTATTCACAATACAATAGTAAATTCAATATTTGAATGAAATACTGCTTCTGTCAGTTTAGTCGGCTAACTGGTAGTAGGACAGCATTCAGTTGTTGGAAGGAATTCATATTATTGTTATGAGGAATATGCTGCATATGTGTGGCTCCAAAAGCCTTTTTAATTTTCAAAAGTACCAAATTTACAAACTTTCAGGCAGGTTGAGGTTTCCCCATAAATGGGTGGGAATATTATAACCATTGTTACAATCTGTATGTTAATAGATACATTAATAAAAATCCTTATTAATCGAGAACTCAACAATCCGAGACATGTCGGTTTCTGAGGATTCTTCAGCCAGTGAATTTAAGTTCTTTGCAGTGACAATTTTGTTTTATATTTTAGAAAAAGAGTCACTTTAATGACAGGTGTAGATGGCCATTTATGAGAGCACATGGGCTCCGCTTACACTGAGATAAACTCAATTCAGTTTGTTGAACTCAATGAGCTATGGTCTTATTGGTAGGACAGAGTGTATGAAAACACTGTTGAAATAATTGTGGCTCTTTTAGTGTTCTCTGTTTCACTCACCCCATTTCACAATGAGAACATCCTCCAGGCTGCTGTGGTCCACATGACAGGAGTAAGTGTCTCCCTCCTTGGTTGGCACTTCCACACTGACTTTTATCTGATAGGTGCCATCAAGATGGGGGAGAATTGGAGTCATTTCATCTGAAGGAACATGGTCCTCCCCATTCCTCATCCACTTCACATCCACAGCTCGGGGGTGAAACCCGTACACCAGGCAGTATAGTCTTGTCAGCCCATCTGACTGAAGACGATCCCACACCTTCACCTCTGGACGCACTGTGGGTGATATATAAGCAAAAAGAAATTAAATTGCTGGTGGAAATATCTATAAGAGGGACACATATGAGAAGCTTTTTAATTTGATCAAATTTGATAGTTGCTCCGTTGGATTAAATAATATTTTTCTCATACAATTATAGAGGTTTTTTTACCTTCTGATTAAAGGCCCATTTATTGTGATGTACTGTAGTGCATTGTGCTCCACTGTGTTGGGGTGCCAGTCACAATGAATGGTACCACACATGCAGCTCGTGTGATGCCATGAGTAACAGAAATGCATATTAACATGTTAGCATGTGTGTTTGTGTGCATTGCCTCAATGCACAATTATAAATGGGCCCCAACTGGTCACTTTAGAGACTTGACAGATCATTTCAGTTCCAAATCATGTAGTGTCAGTTTATAGAAATTGTACATCTTTCACATATATTGATCACCAGTCTTCTATTGTTTATATCTCATATAGCAGCTCATTGAATGTCCCATGGCCATCAATGCTCTGAGCTGTCTGTTGAGTGTTGATAATTAAATATAGCAAAATGTATAATATTCAGGGTCTTCAGAGAGGTGATACAATATAGTTGGATACATTTTGTTTTTAAATGATAACTGTTTCCCTTAGTCTTTTCAGGACATTGACATGCTTTACAAAATAAGTGAAGCCCTATTCATTAATAAAAAAAAACAAAATATGTGGCAGGAGGATCAGTAGCTGGACACAAAGGGGAATTAATAAAATGTACCTGAGACAAGTTCTGCCTTAACTGGTGCAGTTGCTCATTGCATTGGATGCCTTAGGCAATTGCTCCAGTTGAGACAAAAGTAGCCTCCCTAGCGGTCTGATTATGCCAGTATTTCTGCGCTCAAAGCGGTACATTTTTTTGCATGGAAATATGTTGTTTTTTATTGTAGGCCTGTAATTCTTAGGAATGACTCACTGAAATCTGTCCGAACAAGAGTCTAGTAAACATCCCGGGTATGTTAAAATGTGAAACACGAAATCATAAATTATAATTTAATAAATAATCATAAAAAATAATAATATAATAATAATAAATTTAATTCAATAATATAATCAAACTAAAATCACTAAAATTTGAAATATAGCGCCAAGTTCGCACATCACTGAGCAAAGTCATAAACTCGTTTTCAGTGTCCGATGATGAATTTCCCCACAAATCATTATCACTCAATTCTGCAAGTGGTTCTGATTTACTATCGTTGTTCTCTAGCCGGTCTAAAACCCCTTTTACCTGAAGGGACGCTTTTTGGATGCCATGGACCAGGGGCGGACTGACCATTTGGAAACTCAGGCACTGCCCAAGGGCCCGGGGTCAGTAGGGGGCACCATGAGATGCCCCTGGTACCTTTTTCATAGGCTTTTTTGAGTTTGGGCAAGGACACAGGGGCCCCATGATCCCCTATTGCCCAGGGGCCCCATGAGTTGTTAGTCCGCCCCTGCCATGGACGTTTCTCAGTTTCCAGGCAAAAAGAACAGTAAAAATGCCGGCAGGGCACAGGAGAAAGCACTCGGGACAAAATGTATGTGAAATGGTTTGATACAGTAATGTTATACTATGTGATTTTAGTGTATTTAGTGAATGTCACTTTTTGACATTTTTAAATTTCCCGCCAGTTCCATCCCCCGTACGTCCCGACGTCGCAGGGAATGGAACCCGGAAGACGGATGCCGGCATCGGCCGGAGGAGATGGCAGGGGACGCTGCAGGAGGGACATCACGGGAGAGCAGGACAAGGTAAGTTCAGAAGGGATCTTGGAGCAACGTTGCAGGGTAAGCCCGAGTGTAGCTCAGGGTTACCGCTTGTGGTACTGAAACTTTACCCCGAGCTACACTCAGGAATACCACCAGGGAGGTTAAAGGAATTGCATTTTTAATGACAAACATGCTATACTTACCTGCTTTGTGCGATGGTTTTGCATAGAGCAGCCCTGGTTCTCCTCTTTTGGGGTCCCCCGGTGACACTCCTGGCTCCTCCTGCTGTTGACTAACCCCCCCCCCCCCAACAAGCTGCTTGCAAGGGGCTACTCGTGCAGGCTCAATCCCTAGCCACACTGCGAGCAATTATTGACACACACATTGAGTCTTGGCCCTGTCCTCAGCTGCTTTGTCACTGGATTTGATTGACAGCAATGGAGCCAATGGCTCCTGCTGCTCTCACTGAGTCCAGTGAGGAGGGAGAGAGAGAGCAGCACCATTGCTCTCGGGTTCATCGCTGAACCGAGATCGGATACAGGTAGGTATTTGGGGGAATAGGGGGAAGCTGCACCTAAAAGGTTTTTTAACCCTAATGCAGAGAATGCATTAAAAAAAGGAGTACACCCAAAGTTCTTTTGGCTGTACTTCTCCTGTGGATCACAGGAGTGCAGTTCGTTCTGTACTCTTGTGACCCATTTTCAACTGAAAGTAGACTGAAGTTTGCTGTTGGCTGACGTCACTCAGCAGGTCCAGACTGGGGAAAGATCCTGAGTTTAAAGTTGGTAGTCACCCCAGAGTCTGGAGCAGCACCTGGCTCAGCCTCTCAGCGAAGTGCTGAGATTCTGAGCTAGCCGCTCCCTCCCCCTCTACAGGCCAGTGCTCCAGTGAGCACTGGGGGGGGGGGGGGAGAGCAGAGAGCTGGTGACTGGCAGTCACCACGCTCTGCTCAGAGCGGCTGTGAGAACTCAGCAATCAGTGGTCATGTAATCGCTGAGTTCTCACACTTAGAGCAGGTGGGGGACAGATGCTGCATCCAACTAGGTTAGTATAAATGAGGAAAAAGCCCTACTTCTCTTTTAAGGTAAAAAATATTACGTTTTACAACTACTTTAAGCCAAAGTTTGTGTTAGACAATTTATATTATCCCCCCCAGAGTGTTCCCTGTAGTGCAGTCTTTTTTAAATCAGGGTTCCATGGAACCTCTGGGTTCCTCCAGAGTTTACCAGGGGATCCTTGAACAATAGGCAATGCCTGCCCTTTAGAAAAGTATCCACTGAGACCAACAATTTTTTTATCTATCTATGGGGGTATTACCAATGACCACAAATGTAAAAGATTATTCTTCCCTGTAGTCATCACTCTATCGTACTGTGAGTTGTGGATATAATAATAATTAGTAGGGGGTTCCTGAGCATTTCAAGGCATCCTCCATACTATAAGGGTTGAGGAAGGTAACAGTAGTGCCATGTGTCATACTGCTGACAGCATTCTATAAATCACTCCAAATATTTAAACACTTTTATACAAAGTGTGTGTAGCAGAGCGCCCCTTTACCTGCCTTGCCTAGCAATGGGGGCAGAGCCCTTTAACTCCAGTACCTTCAGTCCTGGAACTCCTACAATCCCCTTTGCTCTTATCATCCCCTGGACTTCTAGATGTGCCTAGGGGATATAAACTGCAGCTTTTCCCACCTTCTCCAGTCTTCCTGTGCTCAGTGGGATTATTCCTGATGGAGCAACTGTGACTGGGCAAACTAGCTATGACCAGGTACAGGCCTTCCTTTCTCAGAATCAGTGTGTGGGCCTCCAAAGAGCATAAGAGCATGCAGCACTCACCTAATCCCCAGTCACATTGGTGGACATTATCAGGACAGATTTATCAGTATAGCTATTCAAGTAAACTAGCATTGCTCACAGCCACCTGGACTACCAGAGAACTCTGGTACAGGGTCTGGTACAGGTTTCCAGTCCTCAAAGGGATGCTAATCTTTCTAAGCTCTGCATCTTGAACAGGAGAGCTGCTGCAGCTGCTGTGCCCGCCCTATCCCTCATCCTGCCCAATTACATAAGCCTTGGTGTTATGTGAACACATTCACAAAATACAAAGGCTTCTGTGAATGGGTAGCAGAGGGGAGGGGGGCATAACTGCTCTGTGTGTTTGTCTCCTCTCAAACCCCCAGAGTGTCTCTTGGCAGATCAATAAACCTGTTTAATGTACCGTATTTTCCGGCGTATAAGACGACTTTTTACCCCTTGAAAATCTTCTCAAAAGTTGGGGGTCGTCTTATACGCCGGTATACGGCATGCTGACACTTTTTAGGGGGCGGCGCGGTGCCGCCGCTGCCCCCCCCCCTTCCAACGGAAGGGACACTAAGTACAGGGGTGGGCAGGGGCTGTTTCTTACCTGGCTCCGGTCCCACGACGATCCGGTCCAGGAAGAGTGGCGGCTCCTTCAGTTCGGCCAATGGATGTTCGCGCGGCTGCTCGGCTCCGCCTCCTCACCGGTGATTGGCCGCCAGAACTGTAGCTCAGGAAAGGCACACAGGCGGCCAATCACTGGTGAGGGGGCGGAGCCGAGCGGCCCCACGAAAATCGAGTGCAGGAGCAGCAGGTAAGTGTTCAGTGTAGAGGTGCTGCTGCAACCACATATGCTGGCTGATGCAGCACCATACTAGAACAGGGTCAGCAAGTGTAATTGGTGTCAGTGGGAGGAATAGTGCCCCATCATTGGTGTCACTGATACCAATGATGGAGCACTATTCCTCCCACTGACACCAATGATGGGGCACTATTCCTCCCACTGATACCAATGATGGGGCACCTATTCCCCCCATTGATACTAATGATGGGGCACTATTCCTGCCACTGATACCAATGATGGGGCACCTATTCCCCCCACTGATACTAATGATGGGGCACTATTCCTGCCACTAACGCCAATGATGGGGCACTATTCCTCCCACTGACACCAATGATGGGGCACTATTCCTCCCACTGACACCAATGATGGGGCACTATTCCTCCCACTGACACCAATGATGGGGCACTATTCCTCCCACTGACACCAATGATGGGGCACTATTCCTCCCACTGACACCGATGATGGGGCACTATTCCTCCCACTGACACCGATGATGGGGCACTATTCCTCCCACTGGTTTGCATTGGAAGAGGGGTAGTCTTATACGGCGAGTATAGCCCAAACACTACATTTTAGCAGGAAAAGTAGGGGGTCGTCTTATACGCCCAGTCGTCTTATACGCTGGCAAATACGGTAAATAATAGAGATAAGCCCAGGAGGTGTCATGCAGCTGCTTGGACTTAACTCTTGGTGTGCCTTCACTTTTTACAAAGTGTCTTAATTCCTTGAATTCAGCTTTAATATTGGTTATATTTCTTTGTACTTTTCTGTCCTCCTTACAGTTGGTAAATCTCAACAAAGTAGAAGATATTTTATTTTTAGTGCAGAGGTTTGTACAAAACAGCAACAGTTTCAAGCTTCCCAACTCTTCATCAGGTGCAGTAGATGACGTGCTGGGAAACTTGCAACTGTTGTACAAACCTAGGCACTGAATATAGAATATCTTCTGCTTTGGGCGAGAAAAAAGAAGTGCAGTGATACGAATGGTTATTTGCATGCGACAGACTAGAGCCTGTTGGTCGTGCACAAGGACATGCACCTTTCCTTTTTTTGCAAATATATACAGTATACAATATATAGTGCAATTACCTCTTTTCTCCAGATCTTCTCTCCCACGCTCAAGGAACTCTTTCAACCAATATATACAGTCGTAGTCCAGATATCTGCTCTGTAAATGCCCCCATTTTTTCTTAGGACTGTTCCATTCCTTAGCGGTGAGCTCCGCCTCATGCATCGCGGCTACCCAGTTCTCCTTCTGTTTGTCCAGGTAGATGAATTCTCTCCCATCGTATCTAATATATGTAGTCCCTGAAGTGCTGTTATCATCTCTCAGCTCACATTTCGATATCCATTGGCCATAGTGGATCTCTGTACAATGAACAGGAAGATGCTCCATGAGAGCAACGCATGTCATGGGTGCATCACATTGAATATACTGTTAATGTATAGCATGACCAGACCAAGATCATGCTCAGCTCAACGTTTTCTCTCAAGGGTCCGCAATCAGCTTAGGCCCCTTTATATCTTGTCCTTTTAATACATGTATTTATATAGCACCAAAAATTTACTAAGCACTTTACATACAGTATCTCACAGAAGTGAGTCCACCCCTCACATTTCTGTAAATATTATATTCTATCTTTTCATGTGACAACACTGAAGAAATTACACTTTGCTACAATGTAAAGTAGTGAGTGTACAGCTTGTATAACATGTAAATTTACTGTCTCCTCAAAATAACTCAACACACAGCCATTAATGTCTAAACCACTAGCAACAAAAATGAGTACACCCCTAAGTGAAAATGTCCAAAATTGGGCCCAAAGTGTCAATATTTTGTGTGGCCACCATTATTTTCCAGCACTGCCTTAACCCTCTTGGGCATGGAATTCACCAGAGCTTCACAGGTTGCCACTGGAGTCCTCTTCCACTCCTCCATGACGACATCACAGAGCTGGTGGATGTTAGAGACCTTGCGCTCCTCCACCTTCCATTTGAGGATGCCCCACAGATGCTCAATAAGGTTTAGGTCTGGAGACATGCTTGGCCAGTCCATCACCTTTACCCTCAGCTTCTTTAGCAAGACAGTGGTCCTCTTGGAGGTGTGTTTGGGGTCGTTATGTTGGAATACTGCCCTGCGGCCCAGTCTCTGAAGGGAGGGGATCATGCTCTGCTTCAGTATGTCACAGTACATGTTGGCATTCATGGTTCCCTCAATGAACTGTAGCTCCGCAGTGCTGGCAGCACTCATGCAGCCCCAGACCATGACACTGCCACCACCATGCTTGACTGTAGGCAAGACACACTTGTCTTTGTACTCCTCACCTCATTGCGCCACACATGCTTGACACCATCTGAACCAAATCAGTTGATCTTGGTGTCATCAGACTATAGGACATGGTTCCAGTAATCCATGTCCTTAGTCTGCTTGTCTTCAGCAAACTTTCTTGTGCATCATCTTTAGAAGAGGCTTCCTTCTGGGATGACAGCCATGCAGACCAATTTGATGCAGTGTGAGGCATATGGTCTGAGCACTGACAGGCTGACCCCCCCACCCCTTCAACCTCTGCAGCAATGCTGGCAGCACTCATACAGTTGTGTTCAAAATAATAGCAGTCAGACATCACTAACCGGGTCAATCACTGTTTTTGGTAGAAATGATATTTCTACATGGCAAATAATTTCCTAGCAGGTGTAGTAGAGTAATAGAAATCCAACAGACCCAACAGTCATGACATGCATGCTGCTGATTCTGTGACATTGAATCACTAATTGAAAGGGGCATGTTCAAAATAATAGCAGTGTAGAGTTCTATTAGTGAGGTCATTCATTCTTTGAAAAACAGGTGGCAATTATTTCCCTTATTTAAGGAAGGAAGGCAGCAAATGTTGTACATGCTGGTTACAGTGCATTTCTCTCTGAAATGAAATTCTGAGGAAAATAGGTCGTTCCAGACATTGTTCAGAAGAACAGCGTACCTTGATTAAAAAGTTGATTGGAGAGGGGAAAACATATAAAGAAGTGCAGAAAATGATAGGCTGCTCAGCTAAAATGATCGCAAATGCTTTAAAATGGCAACCAAAACCTGAAAGACGTGAAACAAAGTGAAAAACTACCATTCGAATGGATAGAAAAATAGCCAAAATGGCAAGGACTCAGCCAACAATCAGCTCCAGGAAGATGAAAGAAGGTGTAAAGTTACCTGTGAGTACTGTTACAATTAGAAGACACCTATGTGAAGCCAAGCTATCTGCAAGAGCCCCCGCAAAGTACCACTGTTGGAAAAAAGACATGTGCTGAAGAGGTTACAATCTGCCAAAGAGCACAATGACTGGCCTAAAGAGAAATGGCGCAACATTTTGTGGACTGATGAAAGTAAGATTGTTCTTTTTGGGTCTAGTGGGCGGAGACAGTTTGTCAGACGACCCCCAAACACTGAATTCAAGCCACAGTACACTGTGAAGACAGAGAAGCATGGTGGTGCAAGCATCATGATATGGGGATGTTTCTCATACTACGGTGTTGGGCCTATTTATCGCATACCAGGGATCATGGATTAGTTTGAATACATCAGAATACTTGAAGAGGTCATGCTGCCTTATGCTGAAGAGGAAATGCCCTTGAAATGGGTGTTCCAACAAGACAACGACCCCAAACACACCAGTAAACGTGCAACATCTTGGTTCCAGACCAACAGGATTGACGTTATGGAGTGGCCAGCCCAATCCCCGGAGCTTAATCCAATAGAAAACTTGTGGGGTGACATCAAAAATGCAGTTTCTGAGGCAAAACCAAGAAATGGAGAAGAACTGTGGAATGTAGTCCAATCATCCTGGGCTGGAATACCTGATCACAGGGGCCAGAAGTTGGGTGACTCCATGCAACACAGATGTACAGCAGTTCTCAGAAACAGTGCGACTACAACCAAATATTCATTCAGTGATTCAAAGGAAAAAAAATCTTCAAACATTTTTCAGTTTATATAGTAAATGTTTGAGTTTGTAAAGAAGAATACAAACACTGCTATTTTTTGAACAGTCTAATATTCACTTTTCTTCAAATTTTTTAGAGGAACAACACAAATTTGATCTATTTTTCTTCATGTTTTGATTTGGAATAGAATGTGTAGTGTTCCCAATGCATTTGTGTGCATGGAAATAAAAGCTATTAGAAGGATTTTGAGCTTTATTCACTTTTTTCAACACACTGCTATTATTTTGAACACCACTGTATGTCTATTTCCCAAAGACAACCTCTGGATATGACGCTGAGCACGTGCACTCAACTTTTTTTGTCAACCATGGCGAGGCCTGTTCTGAGTGGAACCTGTCCTGTTAAACCGCTGTATGGTCTTGGCCACGGTGCTGAAGCTCAGTTTCAGGGTCTTGGCAATCTTCTTATAGCCTAGGCCATCTTTATGTAGAACAACAATTCTTTTTTTCAGATCCTCAGAGAGTTATTTACCATGAGGTACCATGTTGAACTTCCACTGACCAGTATGAGAGAGTGAAAGCAACAACACCAAATTTAGCACACCTGCTCCCCATTCACACCTGAGACCTTGTAACACTAACGAGTCACATTACACAGGGGAGGGAAAATGGCTAACTGGGCCCAATTTGGACATTTTCACTTACAATAGTATATGTAAGAAAGTGCTTCGGGGCTGTCGCTGAGCAACACGGAGTTTCAGCTCCCTCCAAAGATGTTCTACTGGATTTAGGTCTGGAGACTGGCTAGGCCACTCCAGAACCTTGATATGCTTCTTACAGAGCCACTCCTTGGTTATCCTGGCTGTGTGATTCGGGTCGTTGTCATGTTGGAAGACCCAGCCACGACCCATCTTCAATGCTCTGACTGAGGGAAGGAGGTTGTTGCTCAAAATCTCACAATAAATAGTCCCATTCATCCTCTCCTTAATACAGTGCAGTCATCCTGTCCCCTTCGCAGAAAAGCACCCCCAAAGCATGATGTTACCACCCCCATGCTTCACAGTAGGGATGGTGTTCTTGGGATGCAACTCATCCTTCTTTTTCCTCCAAACACGACGAGTGAAGTTTATACCAAAAAGTTCTAGTTTGGTCTCATCTGACCACATGACTTTCTCCCATGCCTCCTCTGGATCATCCAGATGGTCATTGACAAACTTCAGACGGACCTGGACATGTGATGACTTGAGCAGGGGAACCTTCCGTGCAATGCATGATTTGAAACCATGACGGCGTAGTGTTCTACCGACAGTGACCTTTGAAACTGTGGTCCCAGCTCTCTTCATGTCATTGACCAGCTCCTCCCTTGTAGTTCTGGGCTGATTCCTCAACTTTCTTATTATCAGTGATACCCCACGAGGTGAGATCTTGCAAGGAGCCCCAGTCCGAGGAAGACCGACAGTCGTCTTTAGCCTCTTCCATTTTCTAACAATTGCTCCAACAGTTGATCTATTTTCACCAATCTGCTTGGCAATTGCCCCGTAACCCTTTCCAGCCTTGTGGAGGTCCACAATGTTGTCTCTGGTGTCTTTTGACAGCTCTTTGGTCTTGCCCTTGGTAGTAGTTGGCGTCTGACTGACTGTGGGGTGGACAGGTGTCTTTAAAGAGCTCAGACAGGTGCTACTAAGTTAGATTAATGAGTGGAGTAGAGGTGGACTTTTTAAAGGCACAGTAACAGGTCTTTGAGAGCCAGAATTCTTGCTGTTTCTTAGGTGTTCAAATACTTATGTTCAGCAGTGCAAGACAAATAAATTCTTTAAAAATCATACAATGTGTTTTCCTGAATTTTTTTTTTTTAATTCTGTCTCTCAGAGTGGGAATGGACCTAAAATGTGAATTTCAGACTCCTCCATGATGGAGAAGTGGGAGAACTTGCAAAATCGCAGGGTGTTCAAATACTTATGTTCCTCACTGTATATCTCAGATTTTATATGTTTATTGTAACATCATTTACTACTGCACTGTACGTCACAGATCACCACGGACATTATTGTATTTAGATTCTGCCCGTGATACACTTTATAATTTGGCATTTGCATTTTGAGCTGTTTAGCTGATAATTTCTTACTTTTACTTGATGCACTTTACTGTTTCACTCAGCACATTTTGAGGGGACAGCAAATTTACAGTTATACAAGCTGTACACTCACTACTTAGCAAAGTGTCATTTCTTCAGTGTTGTCACATTAACAGACATAATAAAATATTTACAAAAATGTGAGGGGTGTACTCACTTCTGGGAGATACAGTACATTGTACATTCGCATCAGTCACTGCCCTCAAGAAGCTTACAATCTAAGGTCCCTACCTCACACACAAACTAGGGCCAGTTTAGACTGGAGTCATTTGATCTACCAAAATGTCTTTGGGAGACCGTACTTGAAGTACGTGGAGGAACCCATGCAAGCATGGGGGGAACATGGAAACTCCATGCAGGTAGCACCCTGACCAGTATACAACCTGGGCTCCTTAGTGCTGCAAGGCAGATGTACTAACCAATAGCCAACTGTACTGCAATTCATCAGATTCATCTCTCTCTCCTCTTTCTTCGCCCCTGCTCCATGACCTGCTGTAGAAATCCAGATTTTGCTCAGGGCAGTGGATCACTTATATTGCACCCTCATATCAGAATGTGTTTAGTGATCATGTACAGCCAGAGGACTGAGACTTTGCCAGGCCCTGAGATCTCAGGTCTGATTGGAAATGAGGTTGCTATATAATGCTGGCTATGTGTCACTGCAGGTCTGATTGATGGAATGGTGACATAATGCCCCAGTCCCCCCCAATTCAGTCTTTCCCTCTGTACAGTGTAAAAATGTGTCTCACCTTTAGTCTGATTGATTTTCCCCATCGCGTTCTCCACCATCTCTCTTCCAATAAACGTTGCAATTGTTTTGAAATTTGTGTTTGTTCGTCCCAGTACTTTTGTCCTTTCTTCTTCTTCATCCATTCAGCGACTGGAATATCTCGGCCAATGTCACTTGTATATCGCATGATCTGTTCATCATCTATGAATCCGACTATGGAAAATTCTGGCCGACCAAACTCTGAGGCCGAGACTGCTGTGCAGCAATATTGCAATGTGTGACTGTCTGAGAGGGAGAGACATACAGACTGTTATATATCACCGCACAGAGTGACTGTCAGAGAGAGAGACATACAGACTGTTATATATCACTGCACAGAGTGACTGTCAGAGACAGAGACATACAGACTGTTATATATCACCGCACAGAGTGACTGTCTGAGAGAGAGAGACATACAGACTGTTATATATCACCGCACAGAGTGACTGTCAGAGAGAGAGACATACAGACTGTTATATATCACTGCACAGAGTGACTGTCAGAGACAGAGACATACAGACTGTGTTATATATCACCGCACAGAGTGACTGTCTGAGAGAGAGACATACAGACTGTTATATATCACCGCACAGAGTGACTGTCTGAGAGAGACACATACAGACTGTTATATATCACTGTACAGAGTGACTGTCTGAGAGACATACAGACTGTTATATATCACCGCACAGAGTGAATGTCAGAGAGAGAGACATACAGACTGTTATATATCACCGCACAGAGTGACTGTCTGAGAGAGAGAGACATACAGACTGTTATATATCACTGCACAGAGTGACTGTCAGAGAGAGAGACATACAGACTGTTATATATCACTGCACAGAGTGACTGTCTAAGAGAGAGAGACATACAGACTGTTATATATCACCACACAGTGTGACTGTCTGAGAGAGACACATACAGACTGTTATATATCACTGTACAGAGTGACTGTCTGAGAAACATACAGACTGTTATATATCACCGCACAGAGTGACTGTCTGAGAGAGACACATACAGACTGTTATATATCACTGTACAGAGTGACTGTCTGAGAGACATACAGACTGTTATATATTACCGCACAGAGTGACTGTCAGAGAGAGAGACATACAGACTGTTATATATCACCGCACAGAGTGACTGTCTGAGAGAGAGAGAGACATACAGACTGTTATATATCACTGCACAGAGTGACTGTCAGAGAGAGAGACATATAGACTGTTATATATCACCATACAGAGTGACTGTCTGAGAGAGACATACAGACTGTTATATATCACTGCACAGAGTGACTGTCTGAGAGAGAGAGACATATAGACTGTTATATATCACTGCACAGAGTGACTGTCTAAGAGAGAGAGACATACAGACTGTTATATATCACCGCACAGAGTGACTGTCTGAGAGAGACACATACAGACTGTTATATATCACCGCACAGAGTGTGACTGTCAGAGAGAGACAGACAGACTGTTATATATCACTGCACAGAGTGACTGTCTGAGAGAGAGAGACATATAGACTGTTATATATCACCTCACAGAGTGAATATCTGAGAGAGAGACATACAGACTGTTATATATCACCGCACAAAGTGACTGTCAGAGAGAGAGAGAGACATACAGACTGTTATATATCACCACACAGAGTGACTGTCTGAGAGAGAGAGACATACAGACTGTTATATATCACCACACAGAGTGACTGTCTGAGAGAGAGAGAGACATATAGACTATTATATATCACCACACAGAGTGACTGTCAGAGAGAGACAGACAGACTATTATATATCACTGCACAGAGTGACTGTCTGAGAGAGAGAGACATATAGACTGTTATATATCACCGCACAGAGTGACTGTCAGAGAGAGAGAGACATACAGACTGTTATATATCACCGCACAGAGTGACTGTCTGAGAGAGAGAGAGACATACAGACTGTTATATTTCACCGCACAGAGTGACTGTCTGAGAGAGAGAGACATACAGACTGTTACATATCACCGCACAGTGTGACTGTCAGAGAGAGAGAGACATACAGACTGTTATATATCACCGCACAGAGTGACTGTCTGAGAGAGAGAGACATACAGACTGTTATATATCACCACACAGAGTGACTGCCTGAGAGAGAGAGACATACAGACTGTTATATATATCACCATACAGAGTGACAGAGAGAGAGAGACATATATAGACTGTTATATATCACCGCACAGAGAGACTGTCTGAGAGAGACATACAGACTGTTATATATCACCGCACAGAGTGACTGTCTGAGAGAGAGAGAGAGACATACAGACTGTTATATATCACCACACAGAGTAACTGTCTGAGAGAGAGACATACAGACTGTTATATATCACACCGCACAGAGTAACTGTCTGAGAGAGAGACATACAGACTGTTATATATCACTGCACAGAGTGACTGTCTGAGAGAGAGAGACATACAGACTGTTATATATCACTGCACAGAGTGACTGTCAGAGAGAGAGACATATAGACTGTTATATATCACCATACAGAGTGACTGTCTGAGAGAGACATACAGACTGTTATATATCACCGCACAGAGTGACTGTCTGAGAGAGACACATACAGACTGTTATATATCACTGCACAGAGTGACTGTCAGAGAGAGAGACATATAGACTGTTATATATCACCATACAGAGTGACTGTCTGAGAGAGAGAGACATATAGACTGTTATATATCACCGCACAGAGTGACTGTCAGAGAGAGAGACATACAGACTGTTATATATCACCGCACAGAGTGACTGTCTGAGAGAGAGAGACATACAGACTGTTATATATCACTGCACAGAGTGACTGTCAGAGAGAGAGACATACAGACTGTTATATATCACCACATAGAGTGACTGTCTGAGAGAGACATATAGACTGTTATATATCACCGCACAGAGTGACTGTCAGAGAGAGACAGACAGACTGTTATATATCACTGCACAGAGTGACTGTCTGAGAGAGAGAGACATATAGACTGTTATATATCACCTCACAGAGTGAATATCTGAGAGAGAGACATACAGACTGTTATATATCACCGCACAAAGTGACTGTCTGAGAGAGAGAGACATACAGACTGTTATATATCACCACACAGAGTGACTGTCTGAGAGAGAGACATACAGACTGTTATATATCACCGCACAGAGTGACTGTCTGAGAGAGAGAGACATATAGACTATTATATATCACCACACAGAGTGACTGTCAGAGAGAGACAGACAGACTATTATATATCACTGCACAGAATGACTGTCTGAGAGAGAGAGACATATAGACTGTTATATATCACCGCACAGAGTGACTGTCAGAGAGAGAGAGACATACAGACTGTTATATATCACCGCACAGAGTGACTGTCTGAGAGAGAGAGACATACAGACTGTTATATTTCACCGCACAGAGTGACTGTCTGAGAGAGAGAGACATACAGACTGTTACATATCACCGCACAGTGTGACTGTCAGAGAGAGAGAGACATACAGACTGTTATATATCACCGCACAGAGTGACTGTCTGAGAGAGAGAGACACATACAGACTGTTATATATCACCGCACAGAGTGACTGTCTGAGAGAGAGAGACATACAGACTGTTATATATCACCACACAGAGTAACTGTCTGAGAGAGAGAGACATACAGACTGTTATATATCACCGCACAGAGTAACTGTCTGAGAGAGAGACATACAGACTGTTATATATCACCGCACAGAGTGACTGTCAGAGAGAGACAGACAGACTGTTATATATCACTGCACAGAGTGACTGTCTGAGAGAGAGAGACAAACAGACTGTTAAAATATTACCGTACAGTGTGACTGTCTGAGAGAGACAGACAGACTGTTATATATCACTGCACAGAGTGACTGTCTGAGAGAGAGAGACATACAGACAGTTATATATCACCGCACAGTGTGACTGTCTGAGAGAGACAGACAGACTGTTATATATCACCGCACAGAGTGACTGTCAGAGACAGACAGACTGTTATATATCACCGCACAGAGTGACTGTCTGAGAGAGAGACATACAGACTGTTATATATCACCGCACAGAGTGACTGTCAGAGAGAGAGAGACATACAGACTGTTATATATCACCGCACAGAGTGACTGTCAGAGAGAGAGACATACAGACTGTTATATATCACCGCACAGAGTGACTGTCAGAGACAGAGAGACATACAGACTGTTATATATCACTGCACAGAGTGACTGTCAGAGAGAGAGACATACAGACTGTTATATATTACCGCACAGAGTGACTGTCAGAGACAGAGAGACATACAGACTGTTATATATCACCGCACAGAGTGACTGTCTGAGAGAGAGAGACACATACAGACTGTTATATATCACCGAACAGAGTGACTGTCTGAGAGAGACATACAGACTGTTATATATCACCGCACAGAGTGACTGTCTGAGAGAGAGACATATAGACTGTTATATATCACCGCACAGAGTGACTGTCAGAGACAGACAGACTGTTAAATATCACCGCACAGAGTGACTGTCAGAGACAGACAGACTGTTAAATATCACCGCACAGAGTGACTGTCTGAGAGAGAGACATACAGACTGTTATATATCACCGCACAGAGTGACTGTCTGAGAGAGAGAGACATACAGACTGTTATATATCACACCGCACAGAGTGACTGTCTGAGAGAGAGAGACATACAGACTGTTATATATCACCGCACAGAGTGACTGTCTGAGAGAGAGAGAGACATACAGACTGTTATATATCACCGCACAGAGTGACTGTCTGAGAGAGAGAGACATACAGACTGTTATATATCACCACACAGAGTGACTGTCTGAGAGAGAGAGAGACATACAGACTGTTATATATCACCGCACAGAGTGACTGCCTGAGAGAGAGACATACAGACTGTTATATATCACCGCACAGAGTGACTGTCTGAGAGAGAGAGACATACAGACTGTTATATATCACCGCACAGAGTGACTGTCTGAGAGAGAGACATATAGACTGTTATATATCACCGCACAGAGTGACTGTCTGAGAGAGAGACATATAGAACTGTTATATATCACCGCACAGAGTGACTGTCAGAGAGAGACATACAGACTGTTATATACCCCCCCCCCCCCCCCAAACCCCCCCCCCCCCCCCCCCCCCCCCCCCCCCCCCCCCCCCCCCCCCCCCCCCCCACCCCCCCCCCCCCCCCCCCCCCCCCCCCCC